AGGACACTAAACAGGAGCTTTCATAAGACTTGTAACGGGTGACTTCCCCTTAATTTTACAATGCACCTTTACTCTTTGATGCTGTAGTGAGCACCCTAATGTCTGATAAGATATGCACAGCTAATGAAGGCCCTGTCTTTTTTTTATTTTTAACTCACAGTCTGTGACTGTGAAACACAATCCAGTCAACCCCTCAAGCACAAATATTGTCATTTGGTCTGTAAATAAGGTAAGTAGGTAAACTGTTCAGCACATGTCTGCGGATCACACGCCATGAATTAATAACCATCTGGTGAGAGGTTTAGTATGTTGTGGTATATTTGGCAGGACCAGTAATTATAAAACTAGGCCATATTGCAAAGGGAGATAATTAACGTTAGCATGTCCCTGGGAGGTTTCTGCGGAATGAGGGAGGCTTTGACACAGCCTATTCAATTATGTCCTTCCCTGTGGGTCCGGAAACCCAGAATATGGAATATCTAAATTAGGCACATGACAAATCTCACAGAGTCAGATGGAGCAGGTCATGCGAACAGTGTGGGCACCAAGTTGTCAGATTTTTGTGTACTGAACTTCCCTCAACTTCTGCATCCCCAAAATGCTTGTTCTGTCTCTTTTACATTATCGAGCTTCTTGTGCTGTGAGAAAGAGTACGAGAAGAGTACCTATATTTAGAGGTAGGAACAAATGGAAAGCAGGCAACAGTAAATCAATTAATGAGATGCCAAGAACATCTTAAAATTGCCTATTGATTTTTGTTCAGCACATGTCGAGACACAAGTGCATCGGAAATTCCTGCAATGTCTTGATCATAAAATTACCAAATGAAACCTGGAATGGGCCTCCAAATGATCCTTATAACTTGATGGGATTTGATAAGGCCGCAATTATTGAAAAGATGCTGGCTGTACACTTTATATGTCAGTGCATCAAAGATTATGAATACAATTGGTTTCTAGATTGATGAAACACAGGGCGCAAAGGGCTGAATAAAGGAGGGAAAATACTGTTACCGGGAGTAATGAGAATAAGGTTTAATATGACGAAACACAGGCAGGCAATTTCAGTGTTTCCCAGATGTCAGACACTAAAACTATTGGTGATTATAGAGAGGGAACCTCAAATTATAGACATTAGAAAACACTGAGTTCCATCATTTCCTTTGAACAAACTGCAGGGGATCAGCTACACAATATGCCCTCCATATGCTCAGAATCTAGCACATCATAGACAAAGAAGTGGGTCATTTGAATCAACTCGGGAATTCAAGATATCACATTTGACCCTTTATGTGAAGTCCCTCCAACACCTGGAGACTGGATATTCTGCTAAAAATATCAGACAGAGACATACAGAGATGTGGAACCAAAAGGCAGAGAGGGCTGAAAGCAACGGGCACACAGGCCGTTTCTTAAACTGATGGGATCAGATTTTGTCACACTGTTGATCGACACGATCTGGAAACGCTCACACTGATACTAAAAACTGCTTTCTAAAACAAAACCAGTAGTTTCAGATCATAAACCAAAATGAGATATCTGAAAAAAAAAGCC